AATGAGGTTAGGTTCACTGGGTTTGTAAAAGGGACGATTAAAGGGACATTTGGCAGGAGCTGGAAGAAATGTTGTGTTACCTCTGAGAGTCATCAGTGATAAATTCCTAAATGGGGATTCCAGGTTTAGCAATACCATGCCTAACTAATCACTTCAGTTATAAAACAAGTTAGCCATACAGTGCGGACAACACCTTGTGGAGAAAACTGAAGGACTGAAAATTTGAATGGAAAATTAATTAAACAATGATCAGATGTTCCACAGTTCACAAGCTGAATGGCAGAAGTCGAGACTAATAAAGAGAAGGAGGGTGGCTTCTGGAATGGATATTTTTACAGAGAGCCATGATGTAAAATTTTGATGGAGTGAAGTTACACTTGCCTCAGTTTTTCCATTATTCCCTTACTTCTAGCTGGAGGCTAATCAGTGACAGCTCCTTTTCATAAACCAGCTACTGACCTCTTCGAATCTCAGACAAACCTTTCTTCGTACAATAAAAAGGAAATGAACTTCTCCCAATGGAAATATCATATTACGCTTGACCACTGTAGGCCAAGTTCATTCCTACACTGGACATATTTAGTCTGGGACCCTCAGTGAGCAGTTGGTGTGAGTTACAAGGTCACCAGACAAAGCAGCACTTCAGACAAACAGCACATCAGACAGTCGAGGCGGCCTCCTCCCCGCTGACAGTGAATATTAAGAACTGTTTGTGATGATTGCAAAAGCAGAATTTTCTACAGCACCAAACGACAAATAAATCAATGTTGTACCGAATAAAAGAGTTTCAACATAGACCAGCTTCTGTCATATTTCACCAACACTGACAGCTCTGTCATTCACAGAACCAGTGGAAAACTACACATCCACGAGAGCACCATAAAACCCATATGCGCATATATGACTAAAGTGTGCTGAACACATTATAACAATGGGCAAAGTTCAGGGAAGAAATATGCTTCAAAGCTTTGAGGGGAGAACGGCTCCCCTCGTAATCACACAAAGTTCACAAAGATCTCAAAAGTTGTCAGTGGAGGCAGAGCTCCCGAGGGCAATGATCAGTATGGAACATTTGAGAGGCATCGAGTCAAAGGGCTTGCTGGTAAGATTATTTGGAGAAATTAATTCAGGACACTGCACGCCATTTTCTGAAACTGCATGCTCACATTTTGATCTTAAAGACAAAATATTTGCTCAATTTTTCAAACGTAGTCAATTAACTAAGACATGTTTGAAGTTTGGTATTTTAATTTTGAATTAGAGCCATGAGGCTAGTGAAGCTAAGAAGTAAATAAAGCTTATATTTTCAGTTATTGTTTTGTATGTTACAGTTGTACTAAGAAAATACATATTTAATGTTACTGCACGTTATTGCAATACTTTACATTTACTAATTTAAAAAAGAAGAAAAAAATAAAATAGTAATTGTGATGCAAAAGTTCAGACACCCTTCCAGCTGTAAAGTCTTACTGTATTATTTTGTTCCATGTTGCACCATGGTCCTGGAGGAACGGTATTTCGCTCCACTGTGTACTTGTACACAGATGGAGTGACAATAAAAGCCTCTTGACTTGACTTTAACAAACTCAATAGGCCTTCACTGACTCTTTAGGGCTGCATAGGCAAGACTGGTTGTCATTAGATGTTGTCAGCTGATGACAATCTAGCATGTAATAAATTCTCTGACTCTTCAAAACTTCGTGCTAACACCTAACAACCATGAACTCCTCCAATCAGCTGGCTGAGGATCTGAAAATGAGCCTAATTGATTACAAAGGCAGGGAAGGGTGTAAAAAGTGTGTATCAAAGTGTTTACCTTGTAATTTCCACTGTCTGAAATGTCACAAAAGAAATGGCAGTTAAGGGGAACTGTGAAAGTCAAGGCAATATCTAGAAAACCAAGAATTCTCTGACAGAACTGTTTAAATGTTGGCTAGAAAGGCAAAACAAAACTCCCATATGACAGCAAAGGACCTTCAGGAAGGTTTAGCCAAGACAGGAGTGGTGCTGAATGTTCTACTAGTTCTATTGTGAGGTGTTGTTGCATGGAAGTGAAATCAGAAGGAAACTTTACCTGTGACCTCATCACAAAAGTCAATGTCTGAAATCTGCAAAACAACATCTAGGTAAGCCAGAGCCATTTTGGACACAAGTGCTGTGGACTGAAGTATAAATTAAACTGTTTGGCCATAATCAATAACAGAAAAAAGGGAGCAGCATTTGATGAAAAGAACACCTTGCTGACTGTTAAGTATAGAGATGGAGGCTTATTATAAGGGTTATTATTCAGTAACTCCAGGGTCTTCAGTGCAAACTGGCTGAGCTATTCTTAGGTTCTTTGAGTGTGTAATAAAACATTGGGCCCCCTGGTGGGCACTGGCCATTTAAGGGATTAATTAAATATAAAATAACCATGCATTGCAAAAACATCATTTTTAAATGGTTTGCTGCAGAGGTTTTGTTTACTTGTTTTTACTTCAAAAATGAACAACATAACAACAAGTACGTAATTTAACCAGTGGTGCCCAAGCTTTATATTTATAAGAACTTTAACTGTATATTGTACATGCTGTAATCTATAAAAATGGACAAAAGTATACACAATATTCAGGCTTCTACTGGTGTTATTAACTACGCAATGTACACTATATGTCCAAAAGTATCCAGACACCTCTTCTAATTGGTGACTTCTGCGACTTGCATTCATTGTTGATATAGGTGTTCAATTGTGCACACACAGCTTGCATAACCTCCATAGAAACAATTGCTAATAGAATATGATGGTCTGGAGCAGCCACACATGAGCCTAAGGTCACCATGCCAAACATCAGCTAGATTGGTAGAAAGCCCCTCAGCACTGGGCTGTGGAGCAGCAAAGCAGCTTTCTCTAGAGTGATGAAGTTCCATCCAGTATCTTTGGGATGAGTTGGAGTGACATCTGTGATCCAGAACTAATAAACCAACATCAGTACCTGACCTCACTAATGCTCTTGTGGCTGAATGCAATGAAATATTCATGGCAATGTTCCAACGTCTAGTATAAAGCCTTCCCAGAAGAGTAGAGGCTGCTACTGAAGCAAAAGAGGGACAAACCTCCTATTAATACCCTTGACTGAAGAAGAAATGTTGGGTAAGCTGGAGTCTACAAACTTTTGGACATAAAGCATACTTTTGTTCCTTTTACGGATAATCTGTTGGCTACATTTGAGGGAAAAAATACATTATACTGGGGGAAAAAAGAAGACCCTTCCTTTAAGCATGAATCAAGCATGTATGAAGAGTATTCAGTTTTTTGTTTTTCACTTCAGCTGAACTTACATTAACCTTTATTCCTAAATTTGGGTACCCTGTTTATCCATCAGCATGGCTTTTGTTTTTGCTGAAATCCTCTGTTCTGGACCCCCTGTGTGAAGGGTCAGCATAGATCAAGCGGGGGCAGCAGGTCTGTTTGGAGTGCGGTAATGACCCACAGACAGGCAGTGTGTCCCGCCGCGCCTCTCCGGTTACGGCTCTGAGCTACGCTGCATTTAAGTTTCACCGGGCCTCAGGAGGACCCTGGAATTAAAGTTTCCTGGAGCCGGAGCCGACTTCAGCAGCTTCTGTCGGCCAAGCAGAGCCCAAGCCGTTCTCCACACTCTAAACACACACCAGGAGAAAAAGCAAAACGGGCTCAGCTTCTTCACTCACGGGGCTTTTGTTGACACGTGTGCAATGCTGAGCAGACTGCTGTTTGCTTTTCATGACTACCTAATGATTTTTGACCAGCACTGTCCAATTTGCTGCATTAATTGGCAACTGCTGCTGGAACAATGACAGCTACTAAACACACGTTTGACCCACAGCAGGAGAGCCGAAATAAAATCTCTCACCAAGCATAACATTATGCAAAAATTGATGCCTGGCACAAGCTGCAATGTGTAAAAACCTTTGTGACTTGAAATACAGTTCTGAAGGGCAGAAGAGAGGAAATATCTGTTTGGGTTTGGTAAAGATTTCTGTTTGAAAAAGTGATTTTGAGTCCGAAGGAAGTATGAAGGAAAACAACAGGCAATTCTAGACTGAGCAATATCAAACCACTGACCAGCTAAAATATCAGGTAAACCACCGAGAATCAAAACAAAGCATGACTTCTACTGTTGACAGCTAACTTAATTAGAAATGTACCATTCAAAAACTTTCAAAGGATTTTTAGGAATAATAGAACTTTCTTTGAAGCTTCATTTCAGTACAAAATACTTACAGTACTGCGTAGTCACAGACCACCCTTCATTTATTTAATTTCCAGTCAAAACAGCCATTAACAGAGCCAAGTTATTCAATTTTCAAGAGATAATTCTGAAGTGATTATATATAAGATATTCCACTTGTATAAGGAAGGGGAAAGTCCAAGAAAAATAAGTGAAAGAACAGGAGTTTCCAAAACTGGATTTCAAAGCATTACTAAAAGATATAGAACAAATATGACTCCTAACAACCATGCAGGACCTTGTAGACCACCAAAAGTGTCACCATCAGATAAATAGTACTTAAGGCTTTCATGAGAGAGAGGCGAAAATCAAGTTCCACTCTCGCCTTAGATCTGAAAAAATCCACAGGTGTTTCTATACATCCTTCCACTGTGAGAAGATAATCAACACTATGAGTCTGAAAAGATGTGTAGCTGTCAAGAAGCCGATACTGAGAAAAATAAATAATGAAAAAAGGTGGTCCATGATATTCTTGAGGGTTTGTGTACAACAAACAGTCATAGTTCATTTTTACATGACCATTTCCAACCTCCCTTTATCCCATAGAATTAAACAGACTTTTTTTGTTACTGTGCCTTTAAGACTGATAAATGTGAATGACATCTGTTGTGATTGGCTGCCCTGTATTGTGCGTGTTCAAAAAGCATTCAGAGCTCAAGCACCCCTTATAACTTCAGCATGAATAGGCAGATCTAAATTGCTGTAGCAGGATTTATTTAAATGTTGGTACATTGAATGAAAAAAGAGCTGCTTTTGCATTTGTTTTCATAGATGGACTGGGGAGTGGACAGTACATTTTTTGAAACTTTAACAGTAGTTACAGAAAAATATTTTTTCAAAAAAAGCTACAAAAATGTGGGTTTTCATGATGTGGGTGCTTTAAAACACTAAGAAAACACTAATAGAAATAAAAATCCACTTTGATGATATTAACAATGTAGGGAATCTGAGCTATGTATAGATTACTCAGTGGCCCAAAATGGAACATCTGTGAAATATATTAACATCTGGTATCAGTTTAAACTGTGACTACTGTAATATAGTATATGATCCTGCACAGACCCTACACATTTCTGCTAAAGCCAACGTAAAAATATGACACATTACACTCCATATGTCAAAACTGACACATGGAAAACGGCGGGTAAAAAAACAGAGGTTTCACTGGTGTGGGCTTTAGCACCACCATGGGACAGAAAAGGGTACAGCACTGTCAGTGATGAGAAACTCCAACCAATTTACGAGTCATATCCTCAAGAAGGAGGGCAAACCTCAACCTTTAATTCAGCAAGTGGATTGCAAACTCCATACCTAGAGAATTTCCAAAGAAAAGAATAGTCCCTCTAGATTTGTTTAAACTTCTTTTGGCAGCAGAAGTGAGATATTTGATTCCTCCAGAGATTTCCTCTTCTTTTTCTACTCACAGATATTTTCCTAGCTCCCTTCATTTTTGACTTGCTCCATCCAAGGCCAGGAAAATGCTCTGTGAAGATAAACTGTCCACAAGAGGTATAAAAATAAGAGATTTTGTATATATGGTGTATCATGAATCTCTTGGGGCCCAGTGCAAAAAAAATTAGAAAAAATAATAATAATTTGCTTGTTTACCTGCTATCACTCCATATCAACTAGGTTGGTGCAGTAATATGTCGTTAAAGGGGAATTCCACTGATTGTTCAAATATTATGCATAATTAAACCATTTCAACTTAAACAAAGTCATTCAGAGTGGTTTGGTGTGAAATGCTTTGTTCTAACGAACTTACAGAGTCAGAATTGTTCACAGTGGTGATGATAGGAACCAGATGTCTGAAGAGTTTAATGCCTCTAAAAGCTCCCTCACAGAAAGTTATTACATGGAATGGTTACAAATGCCCTGCTTGATGTCTGAGACGTTATTTTATGAGAGTAAAATAATAGATTTTGGCCTAAAACAGGTATTTTTAAAATCCAGTCATGGCAGAGAGAGCATGCAGGGCATTGTGAGGTAAAGTAATCCCCAAGAAAACATGTTTTTCAGATTTGCCAGATTTATCTTCATTACATACAAAAAACTCCACTTGTGTAGGCCATTAGTCATTTTGGATAGTAAATTAAATGGTTATTATGTGTTGTAGACATCCTGACCCCAGTTCCTTTCATGACCACTGTAAAGAAATCTGAGTCTGTAAGTTACTCTACAACCATCTTACATCAAACCACTCTAAAAGATTGTTATTTCAACAATTTAATTTTCGTTTAGGTTATTGTTGCTATCCAGAAGTCTTGGGTTGAACACACACACACACACACACACTACAGGCCCAGTGTAACTGCTCCACCAGCTCTGCCTTTGGTCACTCTATTGAATTTTACTGTGAACTGAATCTATGTACTGTACATGATTCAAGAGCAGGCTGACCGAAGTTCCAAGATTAAACTACAGATGGGGGTCATTCCATACATCAGTGGGTCAGTGAGGGGGAAGAGGAGGAGGGCGAAGAGCAGAAGGCCAAGCTCATAGGAGAGCATCAGCACTGGCCTCTGTGGATGCTGCAGGGCCGAGCCCAGAGCAGGAAAACCCATCCAATTACAGAAAGAGTGGCACAGCACCGGCCCCACTAGATGACCTGATAAAAAGAAAGACAATGATATTCAGGGTTGGAAAAAGTCCATGCTTAAAGGGGAACTCCACCAATTGTTCCACATTTCTGCATAATTCAATGATTGAAATGTAAATCATTCAGAGTGGTTTGATGTTTGATGTAAAATTATTCATTATAGAGGAACTTACCAACTTGGATTTGTTTACAGTGGTAGTGATAGGAACCAGGGATCACAATGTCTACAATATAATTTTAGCTGTTTTATTTAACTTCTTTAAAATAACCACTAAACCTACACAAAAAACGTTTTTGTGGGATGTCTTTGGCATTAAACTCTTCAGACGTCTGGTTCCTATCAGTACCACTGTGAACAATTCTAATGCTTTTCTAAAGAATGGAGCATTTCACATCAAATCACTCCAAATCTCTTTGTTTACATCTTAACCATTCAATTTAGTAGACATTTTGAAAAACTGCTGGAATTCCCCTTTAGGTAAGAGTTCTGCTATTGTAGTTATGTGACTTAACTAAAAGTATTAATGAAGAAAATTCCTCAAGTAAGAGGTTGTGCTTATTGAAAAACTAATAGAGTAATAACTTTAGAATAAAAGAAAATTTGCTGTGATTTATAATTGAATGATTTATAATTTAATTATTTTCCTTATTTTCTACTGTTTGTAGATCCTAGTACTAGTGTTAGGAATTTGTTACCTCCCAGCTGTGGTATGAAACAAAAATATATTTCCATTGATGTAGATATTAACCTGTTCTGATGAAAATGAAGGCAGTGTAGGCTCCAAACACTGAAGTGTAGCAAAACTGAAACACTGAGAAGCAGAAAACCATTACAGACAATTCAGACATTCCTGGTAATAAGGACAGAAGGGAGACATACTCACATTTATACTACAGCACTTTTTACCTGCACAAACCAAGACATGGAGCACAGTGTCATGTCCGAAACGAAGCTGCTCAATGACATGGTGAAAGTGGGCTGTGTGAAAGCAAACCCCAAAAAAACAAATGAGAAAATGAAAAAGAAGTGAGACATGTATGGCAAAGATATATATACACAAGCCACGGAAAATATGCAAACAGTGAATGATTATTTACATACTGACATGCAAACGTCCTCTTTCAGGAACAAAAACTGACAAACGCACTGGCCCCTCACCGTGCTGAAGTTTCTGATTTCCCCATATCATGGAAAAATGAATTTTCTCACTTTTTTAAAATAAGAGTTTTATTTTAATGTTACTTTGTAAACATTGTTTAGGTTTAACAACATACCATTTACCCCTACCTATAGGCTATATCTGGAATTTAAAAACAGCCTGTGGTGTCACAAAAACTGATGCATTTGCTTATATCTGTCTGTTCAGCCTCCAGCAGATTAGACCACCCTTCATGTTTAAGTTATAAAGAGTATTGTAGAGTGGACTGAGGCACAATACAGAGGTTCTTTACATAAAGTCAGATGCAAAAGTTTGGGCACCTTCATTAAAATAAATAAATGAACACATCCTCTACTGGAAACAAATTTACATGTGCCCTTTTTCTGCAAATGATTTATTTGTTGAGATTAACATTTTTGAAAAAAGTATGAATGAAAAGTATGAAATGGGCACAAATATAAAGCACAAACCACCTTGGGAGCCACAACACTTTATGTCCATTTTACTGTCTTGGCTGTAAATATGTCTCAGTATGTGCTGATATGCTAGTATACGCCAAAAGCATACAAACAAAAACTCAGACTTACTTTGCTCTGCTTTAAGCTTTAGCTCAGCTTTTCTCAGATCTCCAGCAGGAAACTTTTCCTCAGATGTAGAATAGTTTTTTGTAAAATGTCTCCCATCGTTCAACTTTTTACAAGGCTAAAGTCAACTTCTCATTCGCGGCTTCTTGTTTGTATTTTCCCACTCCACCTTAAATAGCGCCTGAGGCGTCAGACTGTAACCTCTGCACCATTTAAGGTGCAACAGGAAAATACGAATGACAAGCTGGAAATGACAACCTCACTTCAGCTTCACGGCTTTTTAGTGTTCAACAATTTCTCGCTGCATATTAAACATATCAGTAAACCAGCTGGAGTGCTCATAAATGCAAATAAGGCCATTTATCTCCAAAATATCAGTGTTCCTCTTAAATCTTTCTCTTTGCCGTTTTGTTAGCTACTAGCTTGGTGAGATTGTTGTCTGCATTGCAGTGGTGACCCGCAGTCTGTGCACCAATCTTCAGGGTTAAAGGTTGGTGAATTAGCAGTTAAACATTATACATTTATTGTTAAAACGATCAGAGCTTTAAATTACTGCAAAGGAGGATTATTTGATTTTTACCTAAAAGTCTAATTCTGCTGTGAAGGCAGTAAAAGACTCCTGACCTAGATAATCAACAAAATATAGAATTTTGACCAGGGGTGCCCAAACATTTCCATGTGACTACACAAGTCTTAAAGAGTTTCATTCTAGGGGATGAAGAGGGATGTAAAAATGTAATCTGAGCATTTTGGCACAAGAACCCACAGAAATGTTATAAGTTGACCCCAGGAGAAATAATACATAACAAGTAGTATATGGGCCCTTTAAACTAGGTGAAAATGAACTGGATCTTAGGATTATTTTATAGTTACTATAGTTCTATTATACTAACTGCATCAAATTAACTATTCAGTTACTATTATGAGACTTGAATGTAGGTTCTGCAGTTATGAGAGTGAGGAACTGAAGTGTGGGCTCACATACAGGCCCCTAGGGTGTTAAACTGGGGAAAGAATCATTTAAAGATTGTTATCTATGTATTCTATCCTGTTATCTAATAGTTGGCTTAACCTAAACAACCTTAGAATTAAAACCCATACCCACTCCAAAGAAGAGTGGAGCAATGAAGATGGCAGCAGTAGGGCCTGTACACGGCACCAGTATGGGCAGCATGGAAGCTCGAAACACTAGCTCTTCTGTTAGAGGTGCCACCACATGGTTTCTCAGCCAACACAAGTCCCTCAAGCAATCAGCCACGTTCTTCAAGCCTATAGGCAATTGCACATGCTGACGAGTCATTTCAGATTAGAAGCTGACTGGAGGAGAAATTTTTCTTTGATGCACAAATAAACAATCAGTGCCTTGTTAAGACTCACTAAAGCCTGATTTGACTTCAGGTACCAGTCCCTTTGGGCTGTCCATCGCCATCTGAGTCAAAGGTCCAAGAAAAAGCACCTAACCACAAAATTGAAAAAAAATCTTTTAACACAGATGCTTTCATGCTGTTCACCCCTATGTAGTGAAACTGGAAGAGATAAAGAAAATGGCTTTACCATGGTGAGTATTAGAGGTAGCGCAGCTGCTGGAACTGAACCCTCTATCCGAATACCCAGCAAGGCCAGCAAAGGTGGGCTTGGCTTTGGAGGAATGATGATATATACATTTTGAATTACTATCAAACTAAGATACTATAATATATATGTAATAAATATGTAATGAGTTTTCAGATTTCAGGATTCAGGAATTCCTACATTGTATAATATAGTGTGAATGAGCATTTGTATAGTGTGCTTCAGCCTGAGTGTGTACACAGTGAGTATGAATGGGCATTTAGCATTCATGAGTGTGTTTGAGTGTGTATCCGTGTGTGTGTGTGTAATTTTCTTAGAGCATGTATAACTGTGTTTGAGTGTGTTCAATGTTTATATCAGTGCCACCTGCCTTATTTTTTTATTGTCTTGAGCTACAATGCTTGATTATACTGCAGCTTTTGTCAGTATTTGCAATATTGTAACATAAAGTGCTCTCAAAATTTATTTTAGATAGAATATTCACTAACACTGTATGGCTCTGAACTAGGCCTGAGCGATTGGCAAAAATAATCAGCACAATTTTCTTGCTAAAAATTGGGATTATTGGCTCTATTTACTTCATTCTCTCTAATTCTCTGCCAATTCTCGTTTCTTTACTAGTCTCTAAAGCCAGTTTTTAGTTTTCTTTGCAGCAATAAACACAGGACTAAATCACCCATAACTGTGCACAGAAGTTAAAGGGCCCATATCTTACATGTTTCTTGTATTTTATTTTTTCTCTTGAGGTTCATTTATAACCTCATTTGTATGGTTTTCTCTACAAAAATGTTATTACTATTACTATTACTGTTATTACTTGTTTTACTAATCAATTTCCAACCTCTCTTTATCCCTCAGAATTAAACAGGCTGTTTTTGTGCCTTTAAGACTGATATGTGTAAATGAAGTCTGTTCTGATTGGCTGCCCTGCATTAGGCATCTTTTAAAAAGCACTCACAGCTGAAACACTGCTTATGACTTCAGTGTGAATGGATGGAGCTAAACCGCTGTAGGCTGAATAGGTGGATATGATGCTTGGTAATGTTCAGACTGACAGCCCCTTTTTTGGCATATCCTGGTTGTATGCAGATAGATTTTATATTGTCTGGGCAGCAAAAAAACACATGAAATTTGATTTCTGCATATCAGATCCAAACCACATTGGGAGGTGGTTTGAAATGCAGTTCCAATCAGATTTTTACAGATTGTCTCAGTCTGGATGCTCCGGACACTCAAATAAGATTTCAAAGTGTCTTTTGCGGCGCTCGCAACAAACAATGATGATGTCAAATCCAGAATGATGGAAGTGGTGGGATTCAAGAAGAGTGACAAAGATTCATGCTTATGCCTGAAAAATTTTGCATCTCCATCTTTCCTGTATTCTCGTATGAAATCCACATCATCAGCATAGCCAGGTAGTTACTGATGCCCACGTTGTTACCACAGCAACCCATGCAGACAGGCTGGTTATGTCTGGAAACATAAATCCTATCTGATCACTTGCAAATAACAGTGTGGACAATCGTCTCAAAAGATCCAATTTCAGAAACAAATCCAATTTGCCAGCAGTCTGAACACAGCTTTAGTGACATCACAGAAATAAATTATTTAAATTATTTATTTTTTGCAGCTTAGTTTCCATATATGGACTGTGTGGACTGGAACAGTACATTTGAAACTTTAAAAGGTTTTACATATTACTTCAAACTCCTTCATTTCAGAAAAGGGAGCAAATTTAATTTTCCCTATGAGCCCTTTAAGTTTGACAACCATGACTTTTGTTTGTGATCCACAACAATGTGGCATGGCATACAAAAATGTTGTCATGTAAAATGTCAGAGAATTGGTTTTCTTTGTCTTTAGTCAAAATATTTGTTGGCAAATGTGATCATCTTTGTGAATCATCCATTCCTGGCGTGTAGCACAAAAGATGCATGCTTGCAATAACTGTGAAAGCACTTTTATGAATTTTACATTTAATGTGGAAAAAGTGTGACAATTGGACAAAATCACTACAAAAATATTGTGAGAGTTGGTTAAATTTGTGATTGTAAATTCCTGGCAGTTATGTAGGGTGCATGAATGGGCATGTAATTATGTGCACAAGGACTGAAGTGCATTTAATTTATAATGTGAAATAGTTCACTCACCCTCACTTCCAAAGCTCTCATCCATGCCCAAACGATGAGTGGTGAAACAGCAGATGCAAACAGAACACTGATGAAACGTTTCTTTATCGTGCTTGGGTGATCCCTGCATTAACAAGCATTCCAAGCATTAATATTTTGGTATTTTCACATGCTGCATTGGAGTAATATTGTCCACCTGGTCCTGAAAGAGATACTACATCATCTCAAACAGGTCCACTGAACTAACAAGACAGAACATAATCTCAGCACACCCTCACAGATACCTGGGTAAGCTGCCCCGCCATATATACAAACTCCCAACGTACAAACAGGCCAGCAGTAAACAGGACAGAATGGATAAGTAGCATTTTCCTTCAAATGTCTCAGACACAATGTTGCCAGTGACTGAAAGCACTGGTTGTAACTGTAGAGGCACATCATCCAACATGGTGCCGGGACCTCTGGGAGAGCCGAGTATAAAGAGGTTAATGCTCTTATCCTGATTAAGGACCGTCACGTGTGTGCAGTGCTTTGGTATCATATACACCATTTGTTTACAAAAATGGGTGAAAGGTAATAAACTAAAAACCAAAAAAAGTATTAAGTGACAGAAATGCTCAAGTAAATTATAGATACTTGAAAAAATTACTTAAGTACAGTAATGTTCGTATGCATACACAGTTTATATAATCTCCATAGAAAAGCACAGACCAACAGAACAGGATGCTCTCGAACAGCCACACATGAGCCTAAGACCACCATGTCTTGTGCCAAGTGTTGGTTAAAGGAGTATAAAGCCCTCCAGCACTGGGCTGTGGAGCAGAGGAGCTGCTTTCTCCGGAGTGATGGAGCTCCATCTAGTGCCTTCAGGGTGAGTTGGAGTGGTGTTTGTGATTCAAAACTAATCATCCAACATCAGTACCTGACCTCATTAATGCTCTTGTGGTTAACTGTGGCCAAATCCTCACAAAAATATTTCAACATCTAGTGTAAAGCCTTCCCATAAGAGTAGAGGCTGTTACTGCAGCAAAGTGGGCAGACTCTTTTTTAAATCTCTAGATTTTGGAAGAAGCTTTGGATGAGAAGTTTCGTGTCCACAGACTTTTGGCCATGTATGTGCAAAATGTTCAAAATGTTCAATGTTAAAATGTTTTTAAAATGTTAAATCCGATGTTAATACCGATATCGGAACGCTAGCCTATACTACGTATTGGATCGAAAACAAAACGAGTGGTATCGCCTATCACTGCTCTCTAAAAGAAACTGTGGGGTGTGAAAGCAGCGCCAAAACGAGGCCAGTGTTTTTGCGCGCCAAATTCGCCGCTTCCATTTGCGTGAAGTTAGCAACACCACCAGCTTTTCACTTCTAACAGTCTGTTTTAGGCCAAATCTAGCTGCCTGCTTGTAGGTCAGTGCTTGCCCACTGTTTCATTTCAGCAGAGACTACACATTTACCTGGAGCCTTACAGAAAACACCTGATCTGAAACGTCCCTTGTATGAGCAATAAGTGATCGGATGAATGCATGATTGTCAAAGTCCAGCAGTGGCCTTTAAGCCGGGGACTTTTATTTTGAAACGCCGCGTTTGTTAGCGTTAGCGCTGCCGCTAGTCTCCTACAGCACATCACACCACAGAGGCAGCATGGCAGCGGACAGCACGATGTCTAACGGTCAGGAAACGGCTTGTTTGAATGGCGAGCCGGCGGTGAAACGGTCCCGGGAGAGCGGAGGGGTCGAGGCGCTCCGGACTCCGCGGGAGCCGCAGAACAGAGTGACCGTGGTGCTGGGAGCTCAGTGGGGAGATGAAGGCAAGGGGAAGGTGGTGGACTTGTTGGCTATGGACGCGGATATTGTCTGCCGATGCCAGGTAACTGTTACGGTGCTAGCTAGTTTAAACAGGCGAGGCTGATGTTGGTTTCTTATTCGCCAGCTTCTCCTTCGAATTTTCCTGTTCCATCTTAAATACACGCGACACAATGTAACTGCAGCTCCATTTAAGGTGGACCGGGAAATTTCGAATAAGAAGCTTTGTCTTAAACTGTTAGGTTAGCTACTTCGGTGAGTTGTCGATGTGTAATTGCTTTTGTTTATATAACGCCAGTCAGTTTGTTGATAGTTGGTTTCTAAATGACAACGTTATCCGTCAGTAACTTTCCTCACGGATTTAGGCCGTTAGCTAGCGTTACTTCCTGCTCTCATCGTAGTGTTTATTCTAGCAACTGCTGCTACGTTAGGCAGCACCCTTATAGCTAACGGCTTTGTACGTAAATATCTTGAATATTTTAAACTGGTGACAGTTAGACCTGTTAAACAGATTTTATTGTTCAAGTTAACGACCTTAGCTGAACGAATGAAGGCACTTCTGATACTTTTGCCCTTGAGTTAACTGTCCTCAGGCCGGTTAGCTTCGGTTAGCACTCCTACGTAACCTACAGTCCCGCCATGCGGTTAATCCTCACGTGTCTCACCAGGGAGGAAACAACGCAGGACACACGGTGGTGGTGGACTCAGTGGAGTACGACTTCCACCTCTTGCCCAGTGGCGTTCTCAATAAGAAGGCCGTCTCTTTTATAGGTATGTTTGCTTTGACCTTCTCCTTTTACTGTGTGCTAGGTTAGCCTCTCTGCTGCCCCCTGTAGCTCCTCGACAAAAAGACTGATAACTTGCTACACGTAAGTTCTGCCTTAAAATTCACCGGATCAGAAGTCTTCAAACACGGATCTTTAATCTAGTTTTGGATTGATTCATCACTGATAGTTAACTCAACTGTTGCTGTAATTGTTTGACCACCTAGTGTTACACTTATCAGTGACTGATGGTTATAAAATCCAGAACCGAGATTTGAAGATATCTGCACTAGGTCTTCAAGGTTCTGAGAAGTGCTTTTAATGAAAGTTTCACTGGACCTTTCAAAGGCATTTCTGTTAGACTACATTAGTGCCCTACATTTTTATTGCTTGTTCTGCATGTTTCAACACTAGGCGTGCTTGATGATATCAAAATCATAACAATAGATAATTGTTGATAACGGTATCGATCATCAATGAACAAATGTTTAGATTTGACTCATATTTTAGAGGAGCAGAATATTTAGAAGACACTGGGCTGCTGTGCTTTATTTGTATTACTGCATTTACCCTGTGTAAATAAATGTTTCTGTACTCATAGAAATCTCTGCTCATTACTAGTTTTGTGCTCATCTGTTTTGCTTTAGTAGTTTAGTTTTGGCTGTTTTAGTTTTGAGTAGTTTTGGCTGATGGATAGAATCTTCTCATTCTGTCTGATGCAGGGAATGGAGTTGTGATTCATCTTCCTGGGCTGTTTGAGGAGGCTGAGAAGAATTTGCAGAAAGGCAATGGTAAGCCAGAGAATATTACAGGGAAAACAATGTGTTGGATGGATATAATGGGTTAATGAAATGATAGTGTTTTTGCTGTTACGCTGCCCTTTTAAATATATAAATAACCTACTATTTTAAGTGCACACACAGTCCTCTACTTTTGTTGCTCCTGTTTGAGAGTCTGTTTTTCTTTTGTTTAATTCAGGTCTTCAGGGTTGGGAAGAGAGACTGAAGATTTCTGACCGTGCTCACATTGGTAGGATCTTTGAGCCTGTGTAATTTTGGTTTGTTTATGTGGTGTTGGTTAAATTTGGTTCTGTGAAAGTTCTGTACTGAAATTAAGTTGCAGCCAGTTTACCATCTACTTTATGTTTCTAGTGTTTAACTTTCACCAGGCAGTTGATGGGATACAGGAGCAACAAAGACAGCAGCAGGCTGGGAAGAAGTGGGTTTCCTTTTTCTCTGAAATTCTTGTTAGCAAAGTATGTGTTTCCCCTGGCTGCTATTGTTCATTGTTTTTCTTTGTCTTCTCTTTGTTTTGCAGTTTGGGAACTACTAAAAAGGGAATTGGCCCAGCATACTCCTCAAAGGCTGCACGCAATGGACTTAGAGTGTGTGACTTGGTTTCTGACTTCTCCATTTTTGAAGAAAAGTAAGCATCTTTGCATTTTTTCTAAATCAGTATGGTTGGACTACTAGTACCCGAGTCTTCTTTCATCTTAGTCTTTTACAAAAGCACAAATTTCTCTCCACAGATTCCGTGTACTCGCTAGTCATTTTCAGACCATGTACCCCAACCTGAACATTGATGTTGATGCTGAGCTGGAGCAGCTGAAGGTAATGACCAGACAGACACTGAAACTCTTAACTCCAACTCCAGCTCTAAACTGTACACCACTTTGTACAGTGATGTTTTAAACTCTTCTATCAATAGGGTTATGCTGAGAGGTTGCGTCCTCTTGTCACTGATGGGGTTTATTTCATGCACAAAGCCCTAACTGGACCTAGCAAGAAGATATTGGTTGAAGGAGCAAATGCAGCCCTTCTGGATATTGACTTTGGTAAGATTATAGACCTTCATGAAAGTGGTTGGCTTTGTCTGAATTTGCATTAAATAATGAAAAATTGTCTTTGGAATGTTTTAGTTAATATGCAGCTTCTTTGGCAAAATCCCTTTTATCAGTATTTCTTGGGTTTTAATTGCTTTGTGGACTTAACAGGGGAATGTTGTGCTTTTCTCAGGGACCTATCCCTTCGTGACATCGTCAAACTGCACGGTTGGAGGTGTGTGCACAGGCCTCGGGGTGCCCCCGTCCCATATTGGTCGTGTATATGGTGTGGTCAAGGCCTACACCACCAGAGTTGGTGTTGGAGCATTCCCTACAGAGCAGGACAACGTAAGTGCAACTATGAGCTTGCCCGATGCAGTATTAATAGGCCTGGCCCAAATCATTCAAATACAATAGGGTTTGTTTGTTAGGTTAATATTCATTTTCTGTGTAGCATTCAGAACTGGTTTTTTTGTTCCCCTCAATCCACAAAATAAATTGTCATGGTAGCTTTGTTTTAGTTGAATGCACCATAAATTGTGCTAGGCATCTGTGTCACTTCACCTCAAGTCAAGTCAAGAGGTTTTTTGGTATCATTCCATCTATGTACAAGTACACAGTGGGGTGAAATTACATTCCTCCAAGGAGCATCGTGCAACATGGAACAAAATAGACAGTACAAAGTGCAAACGTAAAGATGTAAGTGTGCACCAAAAAAAAATAAACTAGAAACAGTACAATAAATATGATAAATAAAACAGACATTAGACACAGTGAACAGACAGGACAGTGCAGCACCAACACAGCACTCATTTCTGAGCATGAGGTAGTGAGAATAAGGTGCAAAGATTATTTAACCTGCTGTGATCTGTTACTGAGGTAGGATAAACACAGTACTTGAGTAAACAAAGTGTAAACACTGTATTAGCAGCAATGTTCCAGATAGTGTAAATAGAGCATCAAAAGAGGAGTGTGTGAGTGTAGAGTATGTGTGTGTGTGTGTGTGTGTGAGTGTAGAGTATGTGTGTGTGTGTGTGGAGGGGGGGGGCATTTTTTAGTATTGAACGATCGAAAGAAAATGCTCAGAGCAAAGTATGTGAGAAGAGGGTGGTATACCATGGAGGCAGAACCAGTTTGATGAATTATCCCAAATATCCAAGGATAGTGATACTTATCTGAGTACCACTTAGTAGACTAAGTGCTTGACAGTGTTGTTGTTGTCAGTACAGTAGAGTCTCTGGTGAATGGAAGAGTGTTTGGTGGCTCTGGAGAGGGCGTTGCTAAACTGAGGAGCTGCTCAAACCAGTTTGTTGTGGTGAGTTGCTGTGGTGATGTCAGAGGAGGGGAACACCAGTGCTGCTGGCATTGTAGGTGCACCCAGGCCAGAAAGTCTGGTTGGAGGAATGAAGTTCACTTTGGCCAGTGATTCTTAAGGCTGCATGTGGAGAGTTGCATTCCGCAGGGTGGATGTGATGAGTTTGACTGGCTTTGTTATCTTGTAGCCAGTGTCATCTGAGCTCAGTGGCTGTATTTGAACAAAAGGGCTACAGTTGGGGATTCTATCACGGCCACACAAAGAGCAAAAGTGCCTGCTTCAACCTGACCATTAATACATCTTTGCTGCCTACTGGATATATTTTGAACTGCAGTAATGAACATACCCAAAATTACCAGCAAGTAATCGAAGCTTGTATAATGTTGCTTAGTCCAGTCTAAATAATGAATAATCTAATGTTTCCTGACATAGAATTTTTTGCTTTGTGTTCCCTAGGACATTGGTGATCTGCTGCAGTCTAGAGGAAGAGAGTTTGGAGTGACTACTGGCAGGCGGCGGCGCTGTGGGTGGCTGGACCTGGTTTTGGTTCGTTATGCTCACATGGTCAACGGTTTTAGCGCGTACGAGTCTTATCCTTACTCTGATCCTATGGAGGCTATTTTATGCTTAAGATTTGCTTAACCATTAAGATCATGTCAGTACTGTACTAATGTTATGTGTTTTGGTTTCGCTCTTCTTTCTTACGGCAGGATTGCTCTGACCAAGTTGGACATACTTGATGCAGTACCTGAAATAAAAGTGGGTGTTGCCTATACGGTTGATGGCAAGCCCTTGCCCAGCTTTCCTGGTCAGTCATCTTTTCTGGTTTGGGAATTTAAGTATATTACTGCAGCTGCCTTCTTCTCTCTGTGGGTGACGTTATTCTGCGTTCTTTTCTTTGGTAGCTAACATGGATGTCCTGACGAAGGTATCTGTGACCTATGAGACGTTACCTGGGTGGTGCTGCAGCACGGAGGGAGCACGCAATTTCGATGAGTTGCCATCTCAGGCACAGGACTACATTCACTTCATTGAGAACTTCCTACAGGTTCCAGGTAAGTCACCTGTAAATGCTGCATGAAACGCTTAACCAAGTTAAGGAGAGCGGTATCATAGGCACTTGAACAGTTTGTTTCTTTGCTTCTGTTTTATTCAATTTTGGTGCTGTTCTTTTTTTGCTGGTTTTATATACTAAAATATATTTTCTGTCTTCTAGTTAAATGGGTTGGAGTTGGCAAGTCCAGGGAAAGCATGATAAAGCTGTTCTAGGCTGCTGCAGGATGGCACGTGAAATCCATCACATGTGTAGGTCCACAAGAAACGTCATATAATTCGCAGGACCACAATATTTTGTAGTGGATCAACGCTGAGAATGGGTTTAGAACCTAAAGAATGTCCCACTTAAAGTGAGCACCAGCATCATCAGAGTACAGGACCATAGTCAGTAGAGAGAAATTGCACAGTGTTGCAAACACATATTCCATGTATAGAACGGATCATATGTTGAAAATGTCTGAGTAGGAGTTCTGATTTTGGATCAGATTTGGCTTCCATGCCCGATCCTTGAGCAGCAGTCTTATTTAGATGCTTAGTAAGACCCATCATACACTCCCATATTAGATCTGTACTCTAAAAGCTCAGCTTTATGTAAATATGTTTGCAACATATAACTCTACTGATTTCCCCTCTCTTTGCCTTCCTCTCATCTGTTTTGTAATACGTGAATTAATTACTGGAAAGAAGCTCAAACTCTTATCACTATCTGGTGAACTGTAAACAGTCTGTCGGTGCTATCCGCATTCCACAATTCTGTATGAAGCTCAGATTACCTGTAAAGTCTGGACCTTTATGATTTATTGCATTTTAGAGGAACTTAGTATTTTCATCACTGATGGAAAAATAGACTTTTAAGGTTTCCTGTCATTTATAGCTGAAATTTTTTGTATGTAATCAAATGTATGGGGTCAGTATAAGATCTCTGGTTTGAAGGTTTTTTTTTTTGTTTGTTTTTTTAATTTGAGGTTTGTACATGAAAATATTTTCTGTGGTCTGTTTTGGCAAGTGTATCGAAAAACCAAAAGGGATGCTCACGTCAAGGCTTTGTGAAAAAAGAAGAATGAATGCATATATAAACATGCTTTTGTAGGCAAGTACATAAAAAATACATTCGGCCACTTTGTCCTTTAAGAGTTATACAGAAGACCATATTAGAAATGCACGAGAGAGAGAAATGTACAAATGCATACATTTGCATTCCACTGGAGTGTATGATCAATTGATTGGCTGCTGCTTTGGAACAATAAAATGTTCTAATCAATATGACTTTTGAGGGTTTTTTTTTATCTCCCTTCACTTCCACTTAATTTCTGTAGCCTGATTTCTTTTTAGCAGCTGTTGGGTGAGACAGTTTCTTAATGGGTGAGTTAAAATATGAGTATATACTCATTGGAATTTGGACTTTATGCTGAATGTTTTAGTGTTATTCATTATTACAAGAACTTTTGTGTGTGCAGGGTATGTGAGCACAGTTTACACTGCGTTTTGTCTACAGATGTGGTTACATCCATATTGCTCTATTGTCTCTGTTATAATCAGTCCTGGTGTATGTTAAATACATGTGGAACACTGTATGGGTATAAGTACAGGTTAGGTCACTGAAGCAGGTTGCTTTATATTCTAATGACTGTTTAGGAAATTGTATTTTGATGCGTTTGGAGTTGCATAAATGGTGAAAGTGAGTTCAAGCCATTGGGTAACAAAGGTTTTTGTCCTTCACATGTGAAGATGACCCATGTAGTATAAAAACATGGTTTATAGTAGAAAGACTATAATTTTATACAGTTTAAATGTTAAATTTGCTGGTTTATACCTAGGCTAATGAGGATGAGGCCAAATTTACCATACCGTGCGAAGGCTATCAGTAAAAATAAGTTTACTTTGCTTAACTGTTATTTTCTATAATCTGTGCGAACCGTGACGAGAAAGACTTTTACGTACGTTTACGTAAAGAGTACACACATGGTGTAAACATAAGACGTTCATAATCCACAATTAATTACAAATGATCAGACATACTCTGAAATTATGCTCTATAAATATACAGTCAGCTGTAACTTTTTCTATCCCTATTATAATGTTTATTATTTGATTAGCTCCCATGTTTCTTTCTGTTGTATCTTTATCTCCACAGTTCGGTCGCGCTGCCGTGTTAGTAAAGTGCTAGGCTGCGTCCCAAACCGCACTACTACACTACATACTACGCTGATGAACGGACTTGTGTTGGTGCTGTTTCTGACCTGCTGTTTAGTATGGTACAGTGCGGATTTGGACGCAGCCTTAGTTTTTTTTTTAGTTTATACAGTCCACAGCGAGACCAAATTAGGTTTATGTAAAATATACACACTTCTTTTGTGTTAACAGCGTTAAGTCGTTTTCGCAGCCGTGTCTCACGTGCCTCAGAGAAACGGTAAGGGGCGCGTTCACACAAACATTGCCCCCTTCTGCTCCGGAGGGCCGAACAGTCAGCGCCTTTATAAGAAAACTCGTGGTTTCATGAGCATCTCAGTAGTTTGGAGAGTGAGAGTGGCTGAGATTGTAGTTAGAGCTCTGCTCTAAATGAGATGGTGGTGACTCTGTCTGTGCTCCTGTGGGTGTTTCATGTCGCCGCGTCGTCTCCTCATGAAGCTTATGGAGTCGACTCTGAGGTAAGAACGAGAAAGTTTTAAAAAGTTTTAAGTGTCATATTTCCTTCTACCAATAACACATTTATATACACATTTCTGTTTCTCCAGTCCAATTCACCGTGTGTTGTGTTTGCCTAGAGAGGGCTTTCCTGGTAGTTTGTGCTTGATTGTTAATTCGTTTATTTTATTTTATTTTGTTTTATTCTTTATTTGTTATTATCGTACTATTTTCATTTTCGCTTTGAATATTTTGGGAACTACTGAGAACTACTATTCACTGCTATGAGTCAGTGTAACAGCTGCTGATTTGTACTAACACTACTATTCAGTCTTTTAGAAGTCAAATTTACAGTTTGAAAAGGACTCATTCTGGCAAAGACCACTGACCACTGGTATTCACTTCAGAATGTGCGAGGCGCTCAAGTCAGGCCCTGTTGAGAAATGCTGCACTTTGTAATCTGACTACATTTAACTCCCTGTGATCCTCAGTAATATAGAGTTTAACAGTGTCTGCATCTTCAGGGTCTTGCCAGCCTGGGTACTTGTAATCTGTAGATGGTGATTGCATCAGTTCTTGGTGGAATGTGCCCTGCATGAGTTTGTAGCAGAAGTGGCTTGGGGTGGGCTGTTGTAATTATTTTTTTGCCAAAGGCATTTTAGTGTAAAGAAAATCATGGTGGTGCATGTTTAAACACATACTAGCTGGAAGTCATGACTACATGGAAGGCATGAGAAATCACTGACAGTATCATCACGAGTCATCAGTACGCTTGAACAAACCAGGCTTGGTGTCCTTCGTAGGAACTGAACTGACTGGAAATGCATGTCAACACATCTGGATAGATTCAGTGTATTTAACCCAATCAAAGTGTGCTAGTGACTTACCAAGCTTATGCCTAACACACTAAAAAAATACAGTAATAACAAAACAACAAATCAAAAAAATGCTACTACAACAAATATTACGACAGAATGACAATACATAGACAACAAATACACAGATTACAATAAATACAACACAAATACTGCACTTTTGAAACTGCATTTGTGGCAAATATTGCACATATGGATGATGCATCCACATCCAAATGATGATACTTCTGATCATCTGATGTTTTTATTGTCCATTACCACAACTGGAATTTAAGATGTTTTTCCCTTCCTTTTCAACCTATAGAATCCTAATGAGCTTAACAACAGTGACCCAGGTACTTCACTTTTAAACCTCCCATGTCTAAAGAAATATATATATATATATATATATATATATATATATATATATATATATATATATATATATATATATGCCAAATGTATTTATCAGATATAGTTTTGCAATATATTGAAATGGCATAAAATATGAACAAAATGTATTTCAAATAAACAGGATATCAATAATTGAACTGCTTGTTCACAGTATATCAATACCTATGCCACCTGCTTTATACAGTGCTGAGAAAAAGTATTTGCTCCCAGTTGCTTCTGTTGTCACACTTAAACGTTTCAGATCATCAAACTACTTTTAATATTAGACAAAGATAACTCAAATAAACCTAACATGCTGTTTTTAGATGATCAGATTCACTGGCCACACCCAGGCCTGATTACTGCCAGACCTGCTGAATGCAAACAGCACTTAAATAGGACCTGTATGGCAATGTGAAGCAGGATAGAAGGTCCCAGAAAGCAGCACATGATGGCACATTCTAAAGAGAATCGAATACAGATGCGAAACAAAGTCATGAAATCTACCAGTCTGGAAAGGGTTACAAAGCCATTGCTAAGGCTCTGGGAATCCGGCAAACCACAGTGAGAGCTATTATCCACAAATGGATATAACTTGGAACAGTGATGAATCTTCTCAGGAGTGGCCAGCGTACCAAAATTTCACCAAGCACATCCAGGACGACTCATCCAGGAGGTCACAAAAGAACCCAGACGAACATCTGAAGAGCTGCAGGTCTCATTTGCCTCAGTTAAGGTCAATGTATATGATTCCACAATAAGAAAGACACTGGGCAAAAAATGGCATCCATGGGAGAGCTGCAAGACGCAAACCACAGCTGACCAAAAAGAACACAAAGGCTCGTCTCATATTTGCCAAAAAAGCATCTAGATGACCCCTAAGACTTTTTCTTTTAAACTTTGTGGACTGGTAACCTCACATGGTTGATATAGGTTTAAAAAGTATTTATCTTTAATAAATGAAATGATCATTAAAAGCTGCATTTTGTGTTTACTCATGTTGTCTTGATGTTATATTAAAATTAGTTGGATGATCAGAAACATTCAAATGTAACAAATTTGCAAAAATAGAAGAAATCAGGTGAGGGGCAAATACTTTTTCACAGCACTGCATTAAAGGTTCACTGGCCACTATTTCAAATTAAGTGGAATGCAAATACATTTTGAAAGGTATTCCAAACAGTAAAGTGCATTACATTCTAACATTTGCAAATGTAACATTGCAAAACATTCTAACATTTAAGTTCTGTAATGTACATTTTGAACTATTTCTGTTGATCCATTCATCATGATATGCTCACATTATGTAAAAGGCAGCCAGTGTCAAATGGTGTAAAATCAAAAATAGAAATGTTTTGTAATGACAGCAATGATATGCTATCAGTCTATCAATGACTGGCCTTTCAGTCGAATTACAGTACACATGGCCCAATGTTGGCCAACTATTCCCAATTCCAAGACTAAACCTGGATGTGGCTTGATAAAGAGCTCCATCCATTGAGACACAGGCTGTATTTTTAGACTTGTGGGATCACAAATGTATTCATGTGTTCACTGAAACTGCGCCTGTTATTCAGTTTGGAATGTAATCTTGTATTGTGCTCCGTATTTTCACTAGACATGGACTATCTTCGTCCTGTGCTGTGTCAAAGTGCGTGCCGCCCACGAGAAACTTTAGTCAAGGTTTGGCATGAGTTCCCTGAGGAAATGCATTACACCATTTCTCCTTGTTATGTACCTGTGCAGCGCTGTGGGGGGTTCTGTGGTGACGAGGCTACAGTGTGTGTGCCTGTGAAAAACGACACTGTTCTGGTGCAGGTATGACAGACAATATGGTGCTAAACACTGGGAAGAAATTGCTCTTGTTTTGAATCATATTCCAGCAATTCTTAACTCCATTCTATAGTTTTAAACCACTATTATTGTCTCATTTCTCAATAGGTGCAACGGATAAGTGACCCCATTGTGATGATTGAGTTACCATTTGTTCAGCACAGTGGCTGTAGTTGCAGGTAAAACCCATATTGTGGAAACGGGGCCATTTTCTTCAAGAATGATTCACTGTAGACTGGAATATTTGCCATTTAGATGCTTTAGAGTTGGAATATGACATTCAAATGAACAGACCAGTTTATCAGACCCATATTCAGGCTAAGCTTTGGCTAAAAAGAATTGCTTAGGCACTGCAGTTTAGTCCACAACGCTTAATTTATGTCTGTGAATTCTCAGTTCTCTTATACACTGAGAATCATTACCATCCTTGTTGATGCTGTATTTGTTTAGTTTAATTATATTGTAAATTTTTATTATTATTAATTCTTTATTATTCTTTTTTTTCTCAGATCCAGGGAGAGTCTGAGTGCCTCATTTGTACACTTTTAGAACAAAGTGCCTGAAACCTCTACCAAAAATGATGCAGTGAAATGTTGCAAAGGTGTTTTCCAGAGTACGGTAACCAAGCTGTTTTGTGCAGTTGTGAAACACTATTTGCAGAATTGAAAACACCATTACCAGGGCTATCAGTACACTGTTGAGAGAAAGTGTCTAAAAACTCTACTATTCAAAGTTTAAAATAGTAAAAATACTGTTATGTTTTCCACAGTATAGTAACCAAATTTACAACATTTCTAGATCAGTTGGAAACACTAGCATCAGGGGTATCCCTATTAGTCAGTGGATGAAAGAACAATTGAATGAATGACATTTGGCAGTCACATCTGAAGTAAATGTTGAAAACAAAGATTTCCCACGATGATAGAGAAACACGGGGAAGACTCCAACCTTGAATACTTCTGACAGCTGCTCATAGACCACTGTAGTCGTGTCGTCATTTTGTAGTCGGCGCCATGTTCTTATGCCCATATTAGGAACTCCGGGTCTGATCTCCATTTCCCTATGACCAGAAGGAAGAGGGTTTTCGAAAAATCGCCTCTATCGCCCCCTGTGTTAAATAAACATGTTCAGATCCCGATACGTGTTGTCCTGTGAACATTCTTCTCTCGAATGACACTGGACCTCTGAATTACGAGGTCGTTAAAGAGTTCAAATATGAATTGCTACATGTGAGCTAAAGCTACTGCACACTGAATTCACGTCATTAGACTGGCAGCCTTATTAAGCAGGTTTTGTCAGTGTACATTTCCATGTACAGACTGAGGGCAGATGAAAAGAAGTCAAAACAGAATCAGCAGGTTTCCCTGCAGTTCTCTCTTCTTCATCTGATGCTCACTGAAACACGATAGATCTTTCCTTTTAGCTTGATTTGAAAAGATCTACAAACGTACCTGCACGCAGGCTAATCCAGTACAGACTCAGCTTAGTATCACTCCTCACCCCTGATACACTGATTTAGGCTCTCAGAATATCCTAATTATTATTTTAATGCTGGTAATTTTTCGGAGGACATTTTCTCGGGACAATCGCCAGCTTTCTTTTCGACTTTTCCCGTTCGACCTTAAGTGGTACAGCAGTCACTGCTGCGCCATTTAAGGTGGAACGGGAAAATTCGAACAAGCAGCCACCGAAAAAGAAGCTGACGAGTTTCATGGAGGGTTGAAAGGCATGATATGAGGAGGTTTCACTATTAACGCTTAACAGCTGAGTAACATTAAATTATTTTTTCTGGTTCACCGAACTAACAGGTCAGTATTTTGTCTTGTTAGCTAATGTTTGTGATAGCTAGTCACAGCTGCTGCACCGTTTAAGGTGGAACATGAACATTCAAACAAGAAGCTGCGAAAAAAGAAGCTAAATTCAGCCTCGTAGTTTTAACACGGGTAGTATTTTTGATAAGAAGTTTTAGTCTATCAAAATATCCCACCCACAGGTTTTATTTACGAGTATACCTGTAATTTTTCGCTACGGTAAAACATTTGGATAAGGTAGCACAGCTCGTCAGAGCACCACCACAGCCCGCCTTAGTTTCGTGTAGCTTTAGCTCTCATGTAGCAATATTAGTATTATAGCTCTTCACGACCTCGTAATTCGGAGGATCCAGTGGTATCCAGGAGAAAAATGTTCACAGGACAAAACGTATCAGGTTCTGAACATTTTAATTTAACACAGGGGGCAATAGAGGCGATTTTTCAAAAACCCTATTCATTCTGGCCATAGAGAAATGGAGCTTAGACCCGGAGTTCCTAATATGGGCATAACGAGGACTACAGAATGACGCACGACTACAGTGGTCTATTTACTAGACGACCACTGTTAGCTTGTATGTGCTGTTCAATTATTAGGCTCCTGCAAATATTCAGTAATATATTCTTTTTAGAACCACTCAGTACAACCTGACTCAGGCTGTTTTACATCAGTTATGAGATTCCTAAACATTGTAGCTATATCGTTGAAATAAGGTATTGTTTTACAGGGTAAATTAATTTGGACCAGTGGTCACCAACCCTGGTCCTGGAGATATACTGTCCTGTGGAGTTATGTTCCAACAACAGTCTGCCACACCTGCTCCAGCTAATTAACTTCTTCAGATGTCCCTTACTTGTTGAATCAGATGCATTAGTGTTAGGTAAGGGGGGGCGAGAGACAGCATGTTAGATGCAGGTTGGTACTAAACTCTGCTGGAAAGTAGATCTCCAGTGTGTAAAAAAAGTAACTGTATTCTGAATACTACTTTTTCAGAATGTAACATGGACTGAATACAGATCTGCGTTCTGTATTATGAATATTTGTAGTCAAGGAAAGCAGGTAGGAAAGGACATTTCATTCAACTATTTGGAACTGTAGTGTGTAATCGCCTGAACTGAGATTGGGAAGCCCTGACTATAACCATTAGTGTTCCTACACAAAACATGGTGTTTCAAAGCACCAGCTGATTTGATTTGAAGTGTTTGAATAGTGAATTATTCATATTTTCACTCTCCTACATGGCAAGGGGTGGAAACACTTTCGAATCTCTCTAGGAGACAAAACATAATTTGGTATTTCAGAACTCTTATTTGTTGATACTCTGTTTCACTAGTAATGGTCTTTTCAAACACCAAGGTCATTGTCTTCCAATACAGCCTGTATTCTCTTCACACACTCATTTCTCTCGTGTTTCCAGGTTCTTTTTTGGTGGCAGCTCAGTTTCTGAGTTTCCAGACACTTTCTTTTTACAGTATATGATAAATGGAAACTTGTATTATCTGTCCGTCCACAGGCTAAATCACTGTGCTACTATTTTACATTCAAGTAATTACTTTAGTCTGCACTTGCTTTGTAATAAGAAAAGAGAAAATGATCCATGTGAAATGAAGTAATGCTGTGTATAGGCTTATGAATCAGTAAGTACTGTAAAAGCTGTATCATTCAGCTACAGTGATTTTTTTGTTTTTTTCTTTTTCTTCCTTGTTTTTGTTGCGCAAACAACTGCGTCAACAATGTCTAGCTTTTGTGTCCTGGTTTCATCACTGCATGTACACAAACAACGTGTAGCACTTAATATTGAGGTTCTAGTGTTATAATGCTGTGTAATCCTGTCCCGTGTTTTAGTGGGGAAGTGCAGGTTAAATCATGAGTAATGAGTCATGTTCAGCAGTGGAAATTAGGTGAAGATGCCTTTGACTCTGTGAGAAAACGGAAATCAGAAGTGCACCACTTTTTACTGGAATTAAGGAGATGTCCATTCACTCTGAAACACTTTCACTGGTAAAACAAAATGATAAGAGTTCGCAGTATGACAATATGTTGTTACTGTTATCAAGATGTCATAATACACTTTTCTGAGTATGCTGTGGTTATTTTCAGCATTTCTAAAGTACTGAGCGAGTGCATGGATAATAAAAAGAAGACTTAGGCCAATTAAAGGGATCATGTAAATAACAACCAGTGTGTATTAACCATGTAGTAACAAATGCCTAATCTGATGGTCTGATGTTTCATGATTATATTTTATTCATTTATTTTTACCAGTTGTTTAACTTTTCCACCTATTCCTTTAACAATAATTTATTTTTTCAAACATTTAATAAAATAGATTTTCATAGCCTTTTTAAAAAGTGGTGCTACTGTTTTGCTGTTGTGTTTTGTCCATTCCAACTTGTCTGAAAAAGTCAAAATGACAGCAAATATTGTGATACATACGGTATTCTGTATTGAGAAACTGTCCTTTAGTTTTTGGATGCAGTATTTTTACTGTATCTTATAAGGCACTTGATCAGAACAATTGATATGCAAATCTGATTTTTGCTTTAGTGGCTCAAGATAGGCTATTCTTGTTTTTCCCCTTTATTGACTGCAGTTACATGAAGAGCATGATCATGTTTGCCACGATTTCTTGTGTTATGAGCTCTACAGTAATGTCTGGAATAAGTCGATTTTCAGTTTGTAATGAAGTGGAGTGAATGTGATCAGTTGCACGACCAGCCTGGATGAATAATGCATGAGCAACAGTGAACTCTGTTTCATGATGTTTTTGTGGTTAGTGAAGAAGAGAGTAAAGAATAGCTATTACTTTGAAATATGCTTCCTTTTTTTCAAAATGAATGAGCTGTTCTTTTTCTCCCAAAGACCACCGTGATACCTCTTCACTTCAACTAATACACTCTTAAACCAGATTTGTTAAAAAAAAACACACACGCATTCTGTCTCTAACTAGAGTCATTAGTGTGTCCAGTTGGAGACGACACATTTATTCTAACACATAATGTGTTGAAATATTTCTATACCCAATTATAGAAAACACATTTTGGGTTACTTTTAACACAATGTGTTAAATCAAAAAACAACATTACACTAAAAGTGTTAAAATGGGTAACACAAGTTAGTGAGTTATTGTTCAACACATCACTTTTTAGAGTGCAGCAAGCTTACTTTTGTATTAGCAACAAGTGACAGTGGCCTAATTACTGATATTCTTGCTCTACATGATAAAGGAGTATATATGAATCATTGGTAACAGTTTCTGTCTAAAGGACGATGTTTGCTGCAGTCAGTGATCGTAAACCTCTGAAGGGCACCTATATTATATGTGTCTCTAATAAAATGGCCAGTAAGTGTAGGTACAAGGTAAGCATACATAACTTACTGACCATTTGGTGTAATGTCTCAGTAGAACCAGCAGGAAGTTGAGCTTGTTAGTTATTCTCTTTTTGTGCTATTTTTGGTCTAAAATAAACTGCTAAATCTTGAAAGTGAGAGGTGTGTGCAGCAGCAGAGCCGTCCTGGTACTGAGCCAATAGAACAGAATGAAAACAAACACAGAGAGGAATCTTAACTAAATGTGAATGACTAAATGAAACGGAATGGATTTCTTTCTTCACAAATACACATATAAGTAAATGTACTATCATTTGAAACTGATTTAAAAGATACAGTAGCATCAAAACTGTGCATGACTGGACCATTAAAGTTGAAGTAGTAGAGGGCAGCAGTACATATTAGTCACTTACCTAAGGTTTGGTACCCTAACTCAACTCAGCACAGCTCACAGCTTTTTGCTCATGTTTCTGTTCATGTCGTATAAATCTCACCTTTTACTAAAGGTTTCTGTGGAGGGAACCATTATGAGTATTGCAAAAATTGGTGGTGGTTCTGTAGCTCAGTGGGGCTGTGCTTAAGGGTTTAAAAACAGACTGTTTTACTTATTTTGTTTATATAATGTTAATATTGTTATTTTATATAATTTACAAAACAAAACCCATTAATTATGACTGTCATATGATGTGAAAACATTTAAAAAGAAAGAAAATGGGATAGTATTCACTAATAGAGTTTTCTTTCTGTTGAGTGTATTAACCAACAGCGTGGAGTGAACTCATTGTTGTGACCCTGTTTTTGCTTATTCAACTCAAATTTACACTTTTTACAATTTTGATGATTAATGCAATTTTTCGGAACTAATACACACATTTTACCAATAGATAAATTAACAAATTAAAAAAAGAAGGGAAAGATAACAATAATAATGACAAAAGGAAGGAGAAGAAAACAATGCAGAGGCATGTAAAAGATTTTGTAGATATTGCAAAGCTCCAGATATTTTAGGTATTTTTTTCCTGGTTGTTAATAAATGTAAATGGATGTGAATAAATACTGCGTTTCTTTTTAGCTCCTAGTATTTTGTATGCTTTGCAGGCAAATAGTTCACGGCAGATTCAGCCGCACCGTTGGGATTTGTGTAGTAACAGAAAATATAGTTGAGTATGAATTTATAGCTCGTTCACAGAGGAGAAGAGAAACAAACTATAGTGAAACCAGAAAAGAGAAACAAAGATACAGACATGCATTTTGACTCGCTTTTTACAGAACATTACAAAATAATCTGAGTCTGAAAATTTACGGGCATGTTTTGTTAAAAACGAAATAAAGTTGTAAGAAGACGTGGCGTGAGTGACGTAAGCGTGTCGGCGCAGAACCCGGATGATGACAGCTAACAGCTTCTAACAGCCAAAAACCAAAAGGAGAAGCAGCAGTAGTCGGGCTAACCGGTGAGAGTTTAAGACGGTTTTATTATTACAGCTGTCCAAGACGGGGTCTTGTCCAAAACGGCACTTCAGACGCGCTCGGTGTTATTTTACTTAAGAGAAAATATGTGTTAGGAGGTCAGTCATCTTGCTTTAGCTGGCTAGCTTGCTATGGAGTTTTATACTGAAGACAGAAAGCTAACCTAGCTAACGTAGATCTGCAGCCTTTGTATCAGCACGGCAGGCTAGCCGGACAGCGGATCACAAAGATGTGACTTTTAGATCTTTTTCTGTCTGCGTGAAAAATATTATATTACTGCTAGCTGTCTATTTGTGGAAAATATTTAGCAAACGTTGTCAATACGTGATAACATATTTTAGGAAGTAAACCAGCAATTAATGGTGGGGGGGAGCTAGGTAATGTTTATTACTTTGGTTAGCATGTTGACCCCTTCTCCAGCCAACAGCGCCGTGTAACAACACTGACACACTGACAGCTAACTGTTTCTTAACCTTGAGCATGGAGACAGTCCTCTGATGCCGGCTTTTATGTTTTTTTGTGTTTCAACATGAATGAAACAAGTTAGAGTGGTTGTGATAGACTTTTTAAATATCACTGTAGGTTATAGCTGTACAATTCCTGGACCTTTTACATCTCTGTCCCAGGTTATGTGTCAGAGCACCCATGAATGCCCGCCGCCGCCATGGTCCTAAGAGCAGCCAGGAAGGGGTGTACACTGGGCCTTCACAGACCCAGTCCCAGCTGGTCCAGTCGCTGGAGACCCCCCTGGCTATGCCAGTTCCCGTTACCCCTCTCGTAGACACCAGCAGCATGTCCTGCCGAGACCGCACCAGCGAGTTTCAGGCTGTGTGTAAATCCTTGCAAGGGAGACAGGTGAGTAAGTGCTGCATCCCATATGTACTTGTGTCATGTTGCTGGATTCCAAACGGTTTTCCATATGACATGCAACGAGGATGAATGAACACAGTAATTTGTTATAGATTACGCTTTTAGCCAGTCAGTGGTGCGAAGCACTGGTGCTGCACACTTTAGTAATTTCCCCTCTTAAACACACTGGGTCCAACTCCCCAGTTAATAGACCCTTTAAACACTAGACTCAAGGCAGCAGAAGTTGTCGTAATAGGGAGAAGGTTACGGCAATGCCAGTTTTTATGAATGAGAATGTAGTGATCTCACATGTTTTCACATCCATATTAAGGTATTTGCCTGATGTTTCCATGAAAAACAGTGTTTGTTTGGAGGAGCATTTTTAATTTTTGGAGAGAAACAAGATTGACAATGAAGATAAGGATCTCGTGACAAGATACAAACCTAGTCAGCTAACATTAGCTGTCTAATATTTACAAGAGTATAGTTAGTTGTACCTCGTTGTCCTTTGATTGTGTTATATGATTTAACTTTGCTTTGACTGTGATTAAACTGAAAACGGCTCCACTGAACAAGGTTTTTTGTTTGAAAAAATCAGGTGAATATCTTAATGAAGATGTGAAAATGTAAGAGATATCAACATTCTCATTTGTAAACACTGCAAATTCTGTAATTTTTTTCCCTAGTATGTCAACTTCTGCTGTATTAAGTCTAAAAGTGTGAAAAAGGTAAAGTTAGTATGTTGGAACAGGGAGAACACAAAACTGTGCTGAACTCCAGCCTTGAGTTTTCCACCTGTCCAGTAACTAACCATTTAAAATGTTCATTTTATCTTGTGCATCAGTTGTACTGGGTGATTAAACTTTGTTCCAAATTTTGTTTTTGATTTCTTAACCCCTTTTTCCAGAATGGAGCACAAGATATTAAACCAGTTCAGAGTGCAGTCAGACAACGGAGTGACTTCACTCTCATGGCAAAGTGAATATCACAGCTTTTTACTTTAATTTCTACAGTTGGTCCCAAATTACTAATAGCTCGGATGTTCATTTAATTGGGCTTTTTGACGTTGGCTCTGTGAACAAAAGTCAAATCTTTATTTCTCCTTGTCTCCTTTATAGGCGAATTGGCAGGGACCTTAGCAACACCTTTGCCAAGCTGGAAAAGCTCACAATACGCAAGTATCTTCTAATTTTAAGCCACCTGCTAACTCCAGTGCATGTACTGTACTGAGGTTTGTAATGTTTTCCCTTTTTGATTACAGTTGCCAAAAGAAAATCCCTCTTTGATGACAAAGCAGTGGAGATTGATGAATTGACATATATTGTGAAACAGGTAAATAATTTCTTTTGTCTTACATGTGCAGATCACAAATCCTGAATCATGAATCATTTCTACACGTGAACTTTATCTCTCTCTTATGTAGGATATTAACAGCCTGAATAAACAGATAGCACAGCTGCAGGAGCTGGTCCGCTCTAGGAATGGGCAAAACAGCAGACATCTCCAGACACATTCCAGTACCATCGTTGTTTCATTGCAGGTGTGGACATCTTCCAAACATGTTGAGAGCTAAACTAGTTAGAAAGAAAAACAATATGAACTGTGATGACATTTAACACCTTCTTCCTCATGTTTGTTTTGTACAGTCAAAATTGGCATCAATGTCAAGTGATTTCAAGTCAGTTCTGGAGGTCAGGACAGAGGTAAATCCTATTGATGCAAATGAGGGCAGCACGTTATTTTTCCTATATTGTATTTATGTTGGTTTTTACAGAGTCTTTGTCTATTTGTTTACAGAATCTGAAGCAGCAGAAGAGCAGACAAGAACAGTTTTCTCAGTCTCCAGCCTCATCCTCTTCGTTCCATGACAGCAGCTTTAGTAAGACCAGTAACCTTCCTGCAGTGAATAAATATGCTGTGATGTTGCCATACTGACTGACTCTTATTTCACAAACAGGCAATTCAGTTTTGATGCAAGATAATTCAAAGAAAGCAGATATCTCCATAGACATGGATCTTCGATCCAGCCAGCAGATGCAACTCCTAAATGAGAAGGTACAAATGCTACACGTTTAGTTCACTAACTTGGCTTCAGAAATTACATAGTAAGTTTAACCGCCTTATATGTATGTATATGTCCAGGAGTCTTACATTCAGGATCGAGCGAACACTATGCAGAACATAGAGTCAACAATCGTGGAGTTGGGATCTATTTTCCAGCAGCTGGCCCACATGGTAAAAGAGCAGGAAGAGACAGTTCAAAGGTGAGTATCTAGAGCAGGGGTTTTCAACCCGTTCGCCAGGGACCCTCAGGTAATCCAGGTTTTTCCTCCAACCCAACTTGCACCACAAAAATCTGGACCATCTGGGAGTCCCTCAGGACTGGGTTGAGAACCAGTGATCTACAGTGCATGAAAACTTCCTTAGCCTATAGGCATTTTTCACCACTGTGTTCTTCAACTCTGTGTTCTTCTGTCACAGGATTGATGCTAATGTGGAAGACACTCAGCTCAATGTCGACCTTGCTCATACTGAGATCCTTAAGTACTTTCAGTCTGTCTCCAACAACCGCTGGTTGCTCATCAAAATATTCCTCATTCTCATCATTTTTTTCTTCATCTTTGTGGTCTTCTTGGCCTGAGATCTATGGACACCCGATTGGATTCAGTACTGAGAAGCTTTTGAGAAGAAGCCGTTTCTGACAGGAGTGAAAGACACACTTTTCCTTCTTCTGCTCAGATACTCGCTCTCTGTCTGGGTAGAGCTTGTATTGCCAAGTGCTGTACAATTGCAGACAAGCTGTGCCCTTAAATAATTAGCTTTAATAAGATCATTTCTTTTGGGGAAGTAGAGTTGCTCCTTTGGAACATGAGCAGTGTTAAAGTAAACTGGTAATTCTGGCTGGATCTTATTTTTGTGGCTAAAAAGATTTTAGGTTTGAGTAGTTTTATACAATGAGAAAAGAAAATACACCCCACTGTTCGCTTCCTCTGTAGTTTAGAAGAATATATGGATACACCTTTACAGATGTGCAGATAGCTTGTTTCTTTTGTCCTAATGATCAGCTGGCAGGGAGCTTCTGAATAATTCTGGCCTAACTGCCTTTTAATTCTCTCAGGCTTGGCTACACTGTGTAACGTCAGTGATCCAGGAACACAGTTATCTAGTTACAGCAATATTCCAGTTTTACTTTTTGCATCTTTTGGCAGCAAACCAGTTGTTTGTAGGTGTGAAGCTTATTTAACAACTGAATACAATAACTGCCAGATGTGAAACTAGCCTTCAAAGGTGATGTAGGCAGTTGACCAATAGTAGCTGGACTTGCTAGCATCTAAGCTGTTTAAACATTATTCAGGAAAGACCCCAATAACATTGTGCCCAGAAGTACTTGGAGGTGCAGTGCTGTTCTGAGTACAGTAATTAATAGAATGAATAAAGGAAGAGTCAGAAGAAACCTTAGCTCTACAGAACATGTGAACACTGTCTGAGTAAGGTACTGCAAAAAAAAAAGCGTTTGGTCACTGTTGGAAGAAAAACGTATCTCCAAACCATATCTTTTCAGGAAAAAGAACATGTGCTCCTAACTTTAAATGCCACTTAATATAACAGTAGTTGTGTTGTGAACTGTTCTCACAACATAAAGGGCAGCTGGAGGTTTTGATTAAGCAGTACCATAGTACCATACATCCAGTGTCAGGGAAACAAGCATTTAAAGTTTATTTTTCAATTTCAAACATGGTTATAACTTGTAAGAGATACAGTAGAAGCTAATTCACTGTTAACACTGACATTCCAGCCCTTAACATACAGCTGTACTGTGAAATGAAAAGAAACAAACCACAGGATACAAATGGAGGAACATCAGTGGATCATGGCGTTGCGTTTAGCTTTAATTTCTGATTCCTCTGTCCTTCCCTGTTGGTCTTTGTTAGTTCTGCTTTGAGAGAGCATCCCCTCTGTCTTATATTTGCCTTCTTATTTCTGTTGCAGTGGTAAAAAGTGGGGGTGGTAAAAAGCTCTTACAGGTTCTTTGTACTCTTCAATTCCAACAGTATCAGTGTCTTAAATTATTAGTGGGGAAGCTGAATCTTTTCAATGGTCACTGTGTAATTTGTGACTGTAATTGCTGATATTATGTAACTAAACACTGTACATGTTAATATTTTTACAGTCATCACAGTCTACAAGTAAAAACATTCACATATTTGCACGTTTCATGTTTTTCACTGGTTATGCTTTCAAATCTAAGTGTTCACTTACACTTTCAAATAATGTATTTCAGAATGGTGTGTAACTACACATTGTTATACATTGTCAGACTTCTTGCTTTATCTGGGGCTGAGCATTCTTGAGAACATATTATGCTGTAGTCAGACTTGTGAAATTTTCATTTATTTAATGTGTTTCGGTGTGGAAGAATCAGAGCTGGGTGTGAAACATGAAAAAGAAATGTATGGCTAGACAACATGAGGCAGCTGAGGGGCAGACAAAGAAATGAAGACAAAACGAGTTTTAGAGTGGCTGCAGGTTTTAGAATGGTTGTATAAGACACTGCTGGTGAACAGTTGTCAGGCCAAAATGGTTTGCTTTTTGTGAGTTATAAATGTAAAGAAATTGCAGTTTAAAAAGAAAGTATAATATTACATTTTAAATTGTGTTTGGTCATTAAATACTGTAAATATATATGTTTTTATGTACTTCATATTACACTCTTCTAAAAGACTTTTTAACAGATAATCGCTGAAAGCATAAGCAAAAATGTTTTATTTGTGCCGTTTGGAAAACAGATGCATGCCAACATATATTATAGTTAAAAATTACATTATTTTCTATATACATTCAGTGCAGTTCATAAACCCATTGAAAAGTATCGAGAAGACTGTATATACACCGATCAGGCATAATATTATGACCACCTCCTTGTTTCTACGCTCATTGTCCGTGACAGTGACAGTGAGTGGACACAGTGTTTAAAAACTCCAGCAGCACTGCTGTGTCTGATCCACTCAGACCAGCGCAACATACACTAACACACCACCACCACATCAGTGTTACTGCAGTGCTGAGAATGATCCACCGCCCAAATACTACCTGTTCTGTGAGGGTCCATGGAGGTGTTGACCACTGAAGAACAGGGTAAAAGGGGGCTAACAAAGTATGCAGAGAAACAGATGGACTACAGTCTGTAATTGTAGAACTTGTATAGTAAGTGGAGCTGATAAAATGGACAATGAGCGTAGAAACAAGGAGGTGGGCGTAATGTTATGCTTGATCGGTGTACATCATATACAGTCAGTGGTCAAAATATTTTAGGCACATTGTGGTGGAGGCAGTGGACGCTATGGCGGAGCATGTTTATTCTTTCCTACTTTCATCATTCATTGTTCCATCATCCTTTCAAAGGCCCTGTGGAATTTCTTTATCTCAGACAGTTACTGATACACTTCACTTTTCTACGTCTTGTTCTTGAGGTATTTTCCAACAGTTGTTGTTATAAATCATTTTCATTCTTTCTTTTGTCATGAGAGTGAATGGTATATTCTGTTGTCAGAGCCCCCATTTTTATTCCTTAAAATATACATTCACATCTTCGAATTGTCCTTGTCTTGCTAGTTCAGGGGTGGAGAATCAGACGTCTGCACACTGTGGTGATTTCTCTGCTCAATCTGATCCAACTCTGCACTTAAATGGCAGGTTTAGTTTGTTGGTGAGTGCAGATAAAACAGCAAACTGTTCTGGACTCCAGCCCTCCTGCACTGCCCTATGCTCCTGCAGCTCATCCAGACTGTCGCATAAGACTAGAGGGAACAGCTGTCACCTCTGACACTTCAGACTCCAGCTCTCTCACCAGCTTCCTGAATCTGCAGGGAACAGAAACAATAAGCCTACTGTAGATCACCCTCCCTTTTGTAGAAATCAGATGTGATGACAAAGTGTCATTGCCAGTTACATTAACTGTGCAATTAAAGGGGAATTCCAGCAGTTTCTCAGAATTTCTGTGTAATTCAATGGCTAAGATGTAAACAAAGTTATTTAAAGTGTTTGATGTGAAAGTTCATTGAAGAGAAACTTAGTGACGGATTTCTTTACAATGGTGGAGACAGGAACACTGCAAACTTAGCCATTTTATTTACTATGCATAATAGTGGTAAATCTGAAAAAATAAGTTGTCCTTGGGTACTGTTTTGCCTAACAACACCCTGTATGTCCTCCACTCTGAATGTGTTAACAAATAGTTTAAACCTTTTCTCAAAACGATTGTAAAACATATTAGGCAACTTATTTGTAATTATTTCCCATAATAACCTTCTGTGAGGAAGCTTTTAGAGGCATTCAGCTCTTCAGATGTCTGGTCCCTATCACCACTGTGAACAGTTCTATCTGTAAGATTCCTTATGATGCGGTGTTTCTCATCAAACCACTCTAACTGACTTTATTTACATCTAAAATATATAACATGCAGAAATACACCAAACTCTGCTGGAGTATGCCCCTCCAGGATCAGATCTGGACCCTCCTGTTCAATTCAGAGAACAAGTGACCCACCTGAGAATCATGTAGCCACCCTGAGCCAACTGTGGTCCACACAGGAGCTGCGTCTGTGGCTTTCATCTGCCCTCTTCTGGTGGAGGTGCTCGGTGCGCCTTAGTAAAAAGCCCAGTTTCAGCATCAGTGTATTGGTCAAAGCTGGAGCTCCAATGTGTGGAAGGACCAATAGAACATCTGGAGACAATTTATTCTGAAGGTCAACTGTAGTTTATTCACAAATGCTCAAATTAACAAGGTAGCAAACAAGTGAGATTTCTACAGTCTGGAACAGTGTGATGATTATTTCTGAAAAATAAGTCAACAGGGAAACATTGTCTCCTGTTTACATAACTCAATTAATACAGTCTTGACAGTTAAAATACTTAAATAAAGGTAGAAAGGTAGCAGTCTCCAGAACACAGAAAGCCTACATGATCGGACCTTACTGTAAACTGTTGAAATATGCAGAGGGATGCAAAGGAGTCCCTCTTGTTCACAAGGTGAGAGGTGAAGGCAGCAGTCTGTCTTGCATGGCTGGCCAATGGCTTAAAGCACCTTGCCTCTCAGTGGAAGCTAAAGTGCTGAGGATAAATGTTAATCCCCTGTTATTACAGTATGATGAACCCATATTTTAATGCTTCAGCACTTTGGTCTGAAGCAACTAAAACCTGGTCAAGTCAAATGATCTCATGTTCAGTCCTTCTTCCAGACATTTCCACTATGCTGTCAAGGTTTTTGTAGGGATTACATAATATGCAATTAAATCAGAGTCTTGGCTCAACAATATGTGTAAGAAACAATAGAAGGGTCTGCTTTTCATGGGACAAATATGAAGATAATATCCATTAATATCCATTTTATATGGTGAGCTTGTACAGAAGCTTTGTGTAATTGGGAGCTGCTTTCAATTTTAAAAATGTTCTTTACACTTATGTATCTTATTTACAAAAGTGATACTTTGAAGAAGTGATGGACACTAAAGGTTTCTTAGGGATTTAGAAAGTGGTTCTTCTATAGATGAAACAACCATTTTGGCACCTCTTTATAAGAGCATATGCTCCAACAGATGCCTAACAAATATACTTCAAGGGTTACCCTGTCAGAATAGACCAGATAACATTTTGCATTCATCAAGGTACAACAGTAGTTTTAAGGTCCAATTGTGAACCTTAATTAAGTTTTTCCCAGTGTAAAAGGTATGTATTTGTACGTTTTCATAACCCAATGTTTTAAAACAGCAATAAAATAAAAAGGCTGGAGATGAGACAGGGTGTGTGGAGTCAGTACAACTTAGAAAATAATAATTTCAATAGATTTTGGTACAATTATTTTCCCTGACTAAAGGTACTGAGATGTACCCCTGAGGGTACCACCCCAGTGACAAGAGAAGTACTGCCCCGGAGACAGTTTCATACCTTTTTTCTGACTGTGGACAGATTGTGTGGCCAGTTTCAAACAAAACTAACACCTTCAGCTCTTCTGCCATGCAAAGGAAATTTGAGCTAAATGTTAGGCATGAATTTCAGCACAATGGCTTCAATTCTTTGAGCTCCTCACTTCTACTCTTCCTTCCTCAACACCGACCTGTCTCCACGCTTGTGTTAAAAGCCTGTTGGAGTCACTGGGATTAGATTAATGTGTAATGTAAGAGTTCCTTTGCGTATTGATCAAGTACAGTAAAGTGCTGCTCTTCTGCAGGTGTTTCTCTGGCTACTTATCATTCAGGCTCAAAGAAAAAAGCCTTCAGCCATCACATATTTCACCTGGAACAAAGGGTATTCAGAAGAGGACTTTTAAAAGTCAGTCACTCAGTTAAATATTGTAATTGGGGAAAAATATGGGCAACATTGTAAGAGCCAAAGCAGACGAGGAAGCAGGATGCAAGTGCGAGCTTGGTGTTTTATTGTTGTCCATGATGAAGACAGGATTAACCATAAACAAAAAGAAAAGCTAAACCAGAAAACTAACACACCGGAAGAACTAACAAACAAAACTGAGTATAAAACACTGAGACAAAACAATGCCAAGCATCATGCAAGACAAAGACAAGGGGAATATAAACTGAGGGATGAGAAACACCTGGGATCAATTACACGTGGGGTATAGACAAGACACAGGTGAGGGGCATGATAAAAGCAAGGGAGGAGCAGGGAAACATACAAAGACAAGGGCACAACTGGGCAGGATATTACAATACATAACTGGCAACGCTGTCCTTCAAGAATGCTTGTCCCTTCTTAAAATAAAGGTCCCTAAATGGTTCTTGGCTTGGAAAAACTGTTCTTTAAAAGGTTCATCACAGTTGCACGTCATTTATAAAAATTATTCTTCAAAGAAACATCCACTCCAAAAGGTTCTTTGGGCAACCGAAAATAGTTCTTCTGTCAAGACTCCAAAGAACGTTTTTTGGCAGCTTAATTTTTAAAAGCACAGGAGAAAGACAGACGAGATTTCTAATGGCTTCACATTATAGAATTTTGTTTTTCTGAGGTGTCTTACAGTGGTCTGCTTTGCCTTGAGCTAAATGGACGAAAATTGCGGACGTTTGCAAACCAATCATCAATTTGCTGACCTAGAAGACCATGCATCATCAAAAAATAGCAGAAAGGAGGCTTAATTGTAAAAGCTTTGAGGATGGGAGATAAGTGATCATCCCCCTCTTCTTCATCTTCCTCTTAT